TGTTTGGGGTAGGGTAACAAACGTTTGCATTGAAGCGCTGTTCTCGTAATGGCCAACATATGGTGAATACATATCGTGGTATCGACTGGTCCTTGTGGATGATGCATGTAGAGTAGCTGATTAATTTATCCCGAGTGCAATAACTATATAGCTCTTTGCTTTTGTATAAAAGGTGACAACAGCATTGTTTAAACTAAGGTGTTGTGTATATCTTACCATCAACAAACGATTCAAAATAAAAATTAACTAAATTCGCAACTGAATTCGCGACAAGTAGATACATGCATGTACCTATTCATGTCTGGGCATCGCTCCGAACGGCGAAGAGCCTCCGCGCTACCCATCCGGCCTAATCCGTGCCCGGCCGCCCAACATTTGTTGGGTGGCCGGGCCGCTGGCCACCCGCTATTCTTACAACCGTCTTTGATTTGCGAGACCGCTCCCCCCCCCTTAACCTGAACTCCGTGGCGGAGCCACTGGGCAAACCTTTTTTTTTACTCTACTTAAAAAAAAAACAATCGCGCCAGGGCTATGACGAAAAATAAGTAGCCTAAATCCGATGAGAAAACAGGATTTGGGGGTACCCTAGGTTTAGAGGACACACAGGGCGATGAGCGAAGAATTGTCCCCCGTCCCCCCCAACCAAAAGTCCGTGGCGGAGCCCTTGAGTCTAATGGCGTTTACGGCATGTCTGTATGTCTATTCTGTGATTTTATATGATTTTTTGAACATATGCCGTTTTTGGTCGAAAACTCAGAAATCTTGACGTCACTAAAACCTCGATATCTCAAAAATATTCCGACCGATTTTTTTGAAACTTTGTCACAATAAACTTCAATCAATTCCCTACAGGTACCCAAGATTTGGCGCGCCTGCGGCGCGCCGTTTTTATGCTATGGCCCGGCGAAAAAAGTGGGGGCGTTTAACGCCCCCCCCCCCCCCCAGCAACTCGCGGGTTAACATCAGTGATGAAGTGCAATGATTTTCCGCTTCTTACATTTCGTAGATCTCTCGATCAGAAATAAAACGAAGTCAGTTTTGCGAAACACACATTCTGCAGATAGATGCAAAACTTAGAAATCGAATAGGGGAAGCGGGGGGAACACCGCCATGTGGGAAGCACCGCCATCCCATCTGGCGGTAAAGTATGAACAGTGAGTGTAAAGTGCTTAAATCCGTTATTTTCTATTAACCGCACGAAGGTAAGCGTCGTCTGATTTGCGTTCCGATGTTTCAGTGTAATTGAAGCTCAATATGGACATTTAAAGGAAAATGCTCTTATAAAAATTCGTTGAGTCGGGAGCACTTTTGTATGTCTTTAACCCGCGCCCCACTGGGGGGGGGGGGCTATTCATAGCCCCCCCTCCCGTTTTTTTGCATGTCCGGAGTCACCGGTATTGTATTAGGTAGGTCATCGGATAACTGATAATGTGCATATACAAACACACGTGTATAGGTATACCGATCGGTGGCACCGCCAAGCAGGGATGGTTGGAAAAGGATTCGCAAGTTAGTATTGTTAGAATGAGGACAGTTAGTGTTAAAGGTTTGTGAGGGAATGCTTGACGGTGCCAATCAATCAATCAATATGACAACCAGCGCAGTCAGTGGTCCACATATGGGCGCCATCGCTCGGCCCGCCACAAGGCTATCTCAGCCCCCAACGGGTCGAGGCCCACCACCTCAGACAGCCGAACGCGACCAGATATCACACCCGCTGCAATAACTTATTTAGTTATTTTTTGTTATTTTTCTGCAATAACTTCCAAACCACTTGACGTATCGACGCCAAACTTTCAGTACCTTCGGCTGCATCAATTTGACACCTTGTGTCAAAACTTGAACTTCGTAACTACAATAGGTCGGCCGGAAATGACGTCAGAGTGACGTCATGTTCGGCCGATTTCGACGCAAAACATTGAACCACGGCAATCGCTCCCAAGAGCTCAGTTTTTAAGCTAGATCCAATTTCTTTGCATGAGAGGACTCAGAATAGACTGTGTATCAAACTGCTATCATGGATTTTCGAAATTTTGAAAATTTTAAAAATCTAATATAATATCCAAAATTTATATTTCTACACTTTTTCACCAAGTTTTTGACTTTTCGAAAAAACGGGATATATGTGATAGAACGCATTATTATGACTAACTCTAGCAAGTTTTAGCTAAATATCTTCAAAAATGGCCAAGTTTTACGCATTATTGCAAAAAATCACAATTATTAATTTTTCAAATCAATTTTTCAGCACGAATTTGACATCGTACGCCAATATAAATAGCACCATCGTGTTCCTGAGCTCAAACTGCATCTAATAGACACCTTTTTTGTTGAAAAATTTTAACTTCAAAATTTGACCTTTTTTACCTGAAAGTGACTTGACCTAAGCTAAATTCGACTCAAAATGACCTCGAATGACACAGACGACATCAAATTCGAAATCTCTGACCTAAATGGACCATAGAACATGTGTCACGTGACCGACGCATGATATAATATTTTCGTGACCTGTGATGACCTGACCTTGACCTGAAAATCAAAGTACAAGTTTGGTACCCTCAGGGTAACTAGAGCATCTGTTCCCGAGTGTGTGATCCAAAAATGAGCCTGATCTGACTTGTAAGACGGCGGCCAGAGCCCAAAACGTGAACAAGCCAAAATGCTAATAATTATTACTTTGACCTGACCTATGACGTCATCGGTGACCTCGAGGTCAATGACATTAGGTTTCGCTCGACAGTTTTTCCGGGGCTATCAGATGCCGTTTGAAATTTGACGATCGGCCCAGTAGTTTCGGAGTTAGGAGGGGGGGGCTACGAATAGCCCCCCCCCCCAGTAGGGCGTGTTATACGCAGACCCCAGTGTGGCGCGGGTTAACTTTTTGCTCTTTTGACTTTAAACTTTTTGACGTTTTGACTTTTATACATTTTGACTTTCTTCCATTTGACTTTTATCCCTGTGGGCTTTTTGCATTTGACTATTTGCCTTTTGACTATTTGTCTTTTGACTTTTTGTCCTCTGACTTTTTGTCCGGTTACCATGCCACCCCCCTCCCACCCATAGAGATCTTATATACATAATATAAGATCTCTATGTATATAAGATCTCTATGCTCCCGCTCCCACCCTCCACGGGCGAGGGTTAAGGCCAGGTAGCGTTTCAGCGTTCAATTTTAGCATGATTATATGTTTGTAGCAAATAAATTGAGCCTATGGAAATAAATTCTTACTGAAAAAAACGCTTTCAAGCGCGGAGCATAGTGCTATAAAACAAGTGGGGAGTTTCTTCAATCTCGCACCTATTCCATATTATATATAAATATTCGTCAAATGCTATTAATTAATTAGCAATTAAAAATTAACGGATCGCTTTGTGTCGGAACTCAGAAGATCTGCAAACAGTGTAAGGAGGCAACTAAAATTATTTCAATGTAATAAGTGAATGAGGACTTTACTGATTACTCCACAAGAAATCGTTCTGGTCGGAGCTTTCGAATTGTACCTATTTACAGAACTTCGTCAGCGAGTCGTAATCGGGTTCGGGGGTATCGGTCGCAAAATTGAGGGCAGTTTTGTAAATACAATTCGAAAGCTCCGACCCGAGCAATTTCTTGTGGAGTTAAGTCCTCATTCACTTATTAGGGGAGAGTGGGGTAATTTGGCCGGTGGTGTAAATTGGCCGCCCCCACCTGTACGAAAGCTGATAAAAGTGAATGAAATAACTTAGGTCTCTATTCATTTGTCATCGGCAGAATTAAATCGAGAACAAATATCAAAACTTTCCCCCTCTTAGTTTTATTCAAAATTAATAAAAGGTGAATTACGTTAGAAAATGGTAACTTTTACTTCCGTTTAAAAATTTGTATAACATGTAGTATTTGGGCTGTAAACGAATTAAAACATTATAGCGCCATTTTTGAGGGTGTTCAGCGGCTCCAAGAGCAATTTCATCTAGTTCTGTACAGCCATGACGACTTTATAGACAAAAAATTTCAGAATGGCAATGTGGGGTTATTTGGCCGGGACCAGCGGGGTAACTTGGCCGGTGCGCTCAGAGTCACTATGCTGGGACGGCCGAGTTGTCATGGTCAATTATACCATAAAGGACATAATTCATGACCAACTTTGACTACCTTGATGCCATATTTCCTATTGGACAGCTGTAAGGGCATGTGACGTCATCAAAGGTTACCTAACGCTTTTTTGCTAATAAATACTTACAGAAAAAAGATACAGCCGCGCAAATGGTCTCATTGTGTTCAGTTCGTCAAGGCGCATCGAATGATATACATGATGACCTTGAACTCACGTAACCTTGAGGTCAAGCGACCTGAGGTAACGAGACCTGAAGCCAACCTTGACCTTGACCTTGACCGTGACCTCTCGAGGTCAACACATACATGTTTCGATGCGGAATGACGAGAGAATTACGATGGTGTTTTTAGTTTTGGCCTAACTTGATTACTTCAAAAGTTATTCGTAAAAAACTGTCATCGCATCTAGAGCCGCTATTTTGACTATTTTCGACCCCTGTGACGGGTGAGTCAACCTCCAAAATGCTTCAATTGCGTCGTAGGACACGCGTCATTGCTGAATGTGAAGCTGACTCGCCTATAACAAAAATCATGGCCTCAAACTAACACCGGCCAAATTGCCCCACACCCCCGGCCAAATAACCCTGCTAGTGGGGCAATTTGGCCGCTTTGCAGACCTTTGTAATCCGCCACAATTTCAATATAAGTAGTTACTCAATCATTTCAAGTTTACTGTCCAAGAAAGTAAAATGTATGCCACACCTGTCCGCGTTGAGAAAATGCAGAAATGTGTTGTCGATTTTTAGTTAGATCGTTTTCTAAAAAAAGCGGCCAAATTACCCCACTCTCCCCTACATTAACAAACTCCACATCAAGTCCTTAATAAAATTATTTCAACGGCTGAGCTGAGGTAAAAAAAAAAAACACACACACACACACACACACACACACACACACACGCACTCACCGTCGGGCTGCATATCCACTGACGGAATCGACTCCATGTTGGCTGAAAACGGGTGAACAAGTGCGCACCGCCGGCCAGCCAGTGCACGCGATGCAAAAACACCGCCCACCAGTGCGCCGCGCGGTGCAGTTTCGGTGAGTCCGTCCCGTGCGCAACGTCTGCCGTCTGGATCGTGTCCGCCAGGGGCGGTGGCAGTCGTGCACGGAGAGACGTCCCTTTCGCCATCCCGTCTGCAACACCAGACTGAAAGCCGACAGTGCAAGCTCTGTCTTCTGCTGTGAATGATTTTAGTACTTACAGATCATCATAAGTGCTTACAGTACCTATATAATTCATAAGTTGGCTTCATTTTGGAACTCTTTTATTTCAAATGGAATTGGAGCCTTTATAGTTCTTCATCGTAGCATTGTCTGGGGGCATCTGCGACCGCCCATCACGTGAGCAGACTGTCGTAAAGAGACGGGATATGGCAATGGAAAACAAATGAGGATAGAGAAAAAATCGCCAAGTAGTTATCGGGCTACCTGTGTTAGCTTTTGAAAAAGGCAGGGTAAAATGGTCAGGTCGGGTCCCCCCTGCTGCTGGCCAAGGGCGTCATCACACGCACACACTACACAACCAAAACTTCTCGCAGCACAAGTCATAACAGTCAATGCACTTTCGCCACACTATCACAAACCGGCTCAAACCGATATTTGACTAAACTAGGCAAATTTAGAGATGTTCAAACCCTTTTAATCATGAGCGGTAAACTGGTTGATGACGTCGGAGTTCAGCCAGAATGAATCCACCGTCCGCGTAGGTTTGTTTCATTGGGATGACATGTAACTAGGGACCATACAGAGGTTGGGGTCAGGGCTCAGTTTATATAGAGCCCCTTTGCTGCTGAGTGACACTGGAAAGGGTGACCCGACCGACAGGTTCATATAAGCCGTTTTCACGACGGCCATCTGGTACACATTTGGTGCAGATTAGGTGCAGATTTGGTCAAATTAGGTTCAGTGTGTCTCTTAGTAGCTGTCAGCTAGGGTTACACTAATTGCTTATATGCGTGCTTTGTCATATTATCAGAGAGTATCATCGATTAAAACACTGAAATAAATTCATGAAATAAAGATATTTGCTGTAAAAGAGATTAGGTGCAGATTTGGTCAAATTGCATATAGGTGCACTCGCCGGATAGCCCGTCGTGAAAACGGCTATAGCCACCCCTACACACCTGACCAACAGGAGCATAAGTGTCCCTTTGAGTAAGTGGCACTTTCTTAAAGTGACACTAGCCAACGGGGTTTTCTATGTAAACTGGGTCCAGGTCAAGTAACCAAATGCCATGACAGATCAGCTGCTGGATAAGATAGGGGAAAGTGACCTAATCCCGCGCTGCTCCTATTTACGCACAAGCGCAAGGAAATCATCTCTACAGGGGCCCGGGAACGATTTTCAAGTTGGGGGGGGGGGGGGGGGCGAGCCTAAAATGCCTGACATGATGCATATGAAGCAGTGGCGTAGCTAGGGGTCTAAGGGGACACGTACCCCCTCCCCCCATCGGGTTCAAGGGGACCCTCGGGTCCGAGAGGCCCTGCGGCGCCATTTGACCGCTGAGGGTTAACGATGGCCATGTTTCGGCTCAGAAGGGCGCCATGGGGCTCGTTAGAGCACCTCATGGGCCCTAAATAACCACACTAAGATCTCCATAAGGACCCCACGCCGGCTTCTGAGGGCCTCTTGCAGATTTTAAGGGCCCCTCAGTGGTCTCCAAAGACCCGTTACTGGCCTCTGAGAGTTCTTACCGGCCTATGAGGGGCCAGTTCTATAGGGGCATTTCCCGCCTGTGATGGTCACACACTTATTTTTCTGAGGGCCCCATAACGGCAACTGTGGGGGCCCTCATCGGCGCCTATGAGGGCCCACACCGGTGTCTCTGAGCGTTTCACACCCCCGACTCTGAGTGTCTACACCAGTGCCTATTAACCCATATATGCATGAATTAATTTTTTGTCGAGTATTTGTATGAAACTTTCTAGCATTGTTAAACAACATGTTACTAAGCTGCTGACATCAACTGTTTTGTTTTTACATTTAGTGCTTGCCTGATATGCTCGTTCAAAGTGACGTACAAAAATGTACGTCTATGCCAGGTGTCAACAAGACAATTGTGACGTCTGCCGCCGCCGTCCTAAAATAATACATCCGATATCCCCAATACAATGCTAACGTCTTTCTTACTTCAGAAGCGATGTATGAGGGATGGGTTGGGGTGGGGATGGGGTTGTGGAGGGGGTAGGGTGACGTCATGTCATCGTTAACCTGGGCGAGGGGAATAACTTGTGTTGTATGGTCAAATATGATGTATGATATGTTGTGTTGCATTAGAGACCCTTGGAAATGGTAGTTACAATTCATACGTTGAATTAGGAAATAGATGTAGATCATGTATGATGAAAATAAGGAAATTTGCAAAACACAACTCAATTATGTCAACTTTTACCGTCTATTGAAAACTTGTCTTATGTACATAATAGTCAACATAGTAGATCTATAAAAAGAGCACGTTGTCAATGGCGATCAGGAGGCGTTCTGCTGCTGGCCACCGACGCGGTGACCCTGTGCTCCCCTGTGGCAGTCACAGTCCGGCGCCCGGCGCGCTCCATGCTGACTACCTGACTGCAGAGCTTCTTGAGGAGACAGAAGATGTAGCCGTTCCGCTGGGGGCCTTCGCCCAGGACGTCTGCCTCGTCCACGCAGCTGACGCGTCGGTCGTCGTAATGGCACCACCTGTCCCGTCCCACACTGTACACGTCAGACACTGTCCCGAGCGCGTGGCCCCTCTGTAATGACTAAAGACGGCCATCAGCCGGACGTAAAGTCGCCGGCATGGTCAACGGAGCAGAGCGACTGGTCGCCCTCGACTTAGAACTCGGAGAGGTGCGTCTGTCCAGGGGCGTCGGCCGGCTCTTCCTTCCCCAGTGACGGCATGATCCCAGTAAACATGCCGACGTCGGCCCGACGTCGGGCCGAGGCTCGGCCCGACGTCGGCCCAACGTCGGTTCAACCTCGGCCCGACATCGGCTGGACGTCGGATATGCCCGCATGTTCCGACGTCCAGCCGAAGTCCAGCCGACGTCGGGCCGAGGTCGTTTGCCGAGGTTGACGAGATCGTTTGTCGTTGGACCGACGGGGCCGACGTCGGCATGTTTATTGGGACAACGCGCCAAAAATATCAACCGGCGGCGGGATTCGAGCCCCCCAGTCGCCGACGTCGGCATGTTTACTGGGACAACACGCCAAAAGCATCAGCCGGCGATGGGATTCGAACCTCGTGTGATTTGAACGCGAGGTTAGTGCGCTAACCACTACACCACGCAGCCAGATAGCGAATTTAGTTTGTTTTGTTGGGTTATGCCCTTTCGGTCTGACAAGACCATTTCAGAGCCGGAAGGATGATAGGATGGAGACATTGGTCTTCTTGGCGAGCACCCTGGGTCCAGTTCATATAGAGTCCCTGGTCCCATTGCTGTTACGTAACAGCAAAAGGGCGTTTTGCTGTTACGTAACAGCAATGGGACCAGGGTGGGAAAGGGCGACCCCACAATGGATTCATATAGCCACTCTTACACACCTGCACCAACGTTTCCCAAAGTGTCCCTTTGATAAGTGGCACTTTGGCAAAGTGACACTTGCCGACTGGCCTTTCTATATGAACTGGGCCCGGCCCTGGTGAGTTGCCGGGGCTGAGCCTGACCAAAGGATAGGCCGAGCAGCCCCCAAGCGCTCACCGCACCCGGCTACGGGCGAGCTCGGCTTACGGGCAATCCCAAATGGGATAAAGTTTCCCGTCCAGTCCGGATCACGGGGTTGCGGCGTGGAGGAAGATTTGAGTTTCCTGAGGATATTTTGAACACAGAAGCTCTTTATGAAACATGAAACATGTATTTTATATTATTTTAACGGTCAAAACAGCGGCCGATGTCGGTCCGACGTCACCCCGACGTTGGCCCGACGTCGGCTGGACCAGGCTGGACCTCAGCAATTGATCTCGGTCCGACGTCGGCCCGACGTCGGCTGGACCTCGGCTGGACGTCGGTACATGCGGGCATATCCGACATCCAGCCAACGTCGTGCCGAGGTTGGACCGACGTCGGGCCGACGTCGGCATGCCGATGCCGAGTTGCCGACGTCACCCCGACGTCGGCCGACGTCGGGCCGACGTCGGCATGTTTACTGGGATGGCCTCTTGGAACTCGTGATCCTCGACCACGTCCATCCAGCGGATAACAGCCGCACTGCAGCCGTTGTTGGCAGTCGTAAATGCTTCGATGGTCTGATTGGACTTCTTCTTGAAGGCGTTGATGTCGGTGAACTTGTTCGCCTTCAGAAGGCGATTCCCTCACATGGTACCCGTGCCATGGAACTGGCGCTTCTGGATCTCTGCTGCAAAACCGATCATCAGGGTCAAGCTTGGTGCTGCTTTGGAAGTGACATACATCCATAATCATCCCGAACCGGTTGAGCCGGTGGGTGCGACCAGTTACGGGCTCAGTTACGTCTTTACGGCTCAGTTACGTCAGTTACGGCTCAGACCAGTTACGTCAGGCGGGCTGGGTCAGCATTCTCTTCGTCGCTAGAGTCTTCGTTTGTGTCGACGCGAACTTCCGGCGGCTCTAGGACGACGACCGTGACATCGGCGACTCGACTTCGCTCCTCGATGCCATCCAGAACAGGGCTGCGGAGTCGGAGTCGGAGTCGAAGTCGGTCGGAGTCGACAATTCTGACCGGAGTCGAAGTCGGAGTCGATTTTGGAAACCGGAGCCGGAGTCGGAGTCAGAATCACCGACAAACCCATCGACTCCGCTGACCTGGCAGGGCTGCTGAGTCGGGAGTCGGAGTTGGAGTCGGTCGGAGTCGATAGTTCTACCCGGAGTCGGAGTCGGAGCCGGAGTCGGAGTCACTGAAAATCCATCGACTCCCGCAGCCCTGATCCAGAACATCGTTGAGGCTCACATTTGCCATCAAACCAAAGCATAAACGTGTTTAATGTTTGGGAAACAAAATGTAACGGATATGCATAGACGTACATTATTGTACGTGAGTTTTTGTGAAACGTACTATTTTTGGATTCGCTTGGTAAGCAAAATTAGCATAATAATGACACCACTCATGAAGTTAGGGTCATGCTTGAGCAGATTGCTGGCAACGGAAGCTAATCCGGGAAAAGCACTTAACTATAATTAAGAACACTTGGC